ACCGGAGGCGTTTCAAGGGTTTCCGCCTTGTTTCCCAGGATTTTTCCAGATGAAATATGGACTGGAATACTGTTTTGACATTTACCGCCTCGGCGGGTAGGTAATTTCATTTTTTTTTTACCCTGTGGTGAAAAAGGTTTTCCTGTTCTCTGCCCAACAGCTTTCTGCGCTTCTTGCCCCCCCCCTTGTGAGGAGTTGCACTGAACCTTTCAAAAAAGTGGCCTGGATTAAGATATATTGCAAGCGATGAGTCACAATAACGTGGCTGAAGTATGTTGACCAGACAACACGCTAGAAAATGAAGGGACGACGACGTTTCGGTCCGGCCTGGACCATTCTCAAGTCGATTGTGACTTAAGTCGATTATCAATCGACTTGAGAATGGTCCAGGACGGACCGAAACGTCGTCGTCCCTTCATTTTCTAGTGTGTCGTCTGGTCAAGATATATTGCAATTTGTTGAGTATTTTAAAAGGGTGGATGAGATGAGCAGTGTGGTGTATTCTATGAACTCGAGGTTCTCAACCTTCACTGGCATGAAAGTTGACTTTCTTCTTAGATCATTTTTGTAGCTCTGCGTTTAGTTATTTATTTTTCAATGCAGTTATTCCTGTGTCCTTTTGAAAGTGAGGTCTCCATGCATTAATTAGTCCAGTAGTCCAGTTGGAAGCACGTCAGGCACAGATTTGTACAGCTGAATGGCCACTTTAGTGTCATAACAGTTAAAGGTTCGTTTAATTATTCTATTCTTTGTTTTTTCTTGGCAAGTACTTTTTATGACGTCATAGTAAAAGTGTGCGCATCTGGTGCATTTTGGACAATTATAAAATAGATGCAGTTAGTTCAGCACCAGTGTTACTTGGTTACAAGAACCATTGGGGAGCCAGTTCCTGAACCCATTATGGGACAAGCCCATTCAGTGGGCGGTGGGTAGACGGTCCACAAAAACTGGCTCAACTTCACACTTGGGAACTTTTGTTACACGATTTTATATTAAACACAAAGTTTTAACAGCTAGAAATTATTCCAAAATTTGCGAAACATTTTATCTATAATTAAAAACGTAATAGTTAACGAACAACACAAGCAAATCATTAAATTTTACAACTTTGAAGTTTTAGCGGCACTTTGAGGAACTTTTAGACGGGTGTTTGTTTACCAACAATGTTAGTGGTATGGCGTCAGGACGCGTCTGTGATACTTGCTTGTGCTGTGAACGGAAATGATAACGTAGATGTAACTAGACCTTTAAGGACAATTCACCCCGACATATTGCTGTTAACGGTATGACTCCCAGCCGTGGAAGAGTGTGAGGGTTGTTACAGAACTCGTTCTAGGCAGCAGTGGTGAGGTACGTGAGCAGACCGGACCTGCACTTCCCCCCACAGGGACTTCACCCAGATGTGACCGACGTTCTTATATTGCTTAAATTTCCGCTCTCAAATTTATTATCTGCTCTCAAATTTATTATCTGGTCATGGTCCTTTTAATCATTTTCGTTTTTTCATGTTTTTTTTAACGTTATTGCAGCAGAAATATATATTTATTTTCCAACTCTCACCTAATAGTTTAGTCATTCTGCACTCTACACCCATTCTGTGGGAGGTGGTGGAAAGGCTTACAAAGGCACATAATGGGTTCGGGAACTGAACGCCATGGCTCGTTTATCTAAGCAAGTAACAATCATGTGAACCTAGTTACAGTTTTCAGTACACTGCTAAGCATACTAACGAAACATATCCTACCTTAAACTAAAAGTTTGTTACAAAAGTGAGGTTTAAAAATTTAATACGGATTTTAGATTTTAACAAATTACTGCAAAATGTATCTGGACAATTGATTTGATAGTTACCATCGGAGGTGGCTTGTTTATTGTGTACCCCATACTCATCCTGTAAGCAATTACGCAAGCAAAAAAACATAATAAGCAAAAGCAAAAAAACTTGTGAAAAAAACATAATAAACAAGTAAGCAAAGACATAATACAGTGCAAAAAAGCAATTACAGAGAGCACACACAGTCTTGATCAGACCTCCACAGAGATTTTTACATTAGCAATTACATCTATCATGCACACCATATAATTATAATGACAACTAGTTATAAACTTTTTTACACTGTAGGTTGTTAATAAATTAACAATTTATATATGGTGTATTAGATTCATAGAAGAGCTGCCATATATTATTATTAGTCATGCTACAAAGCTTATTTATACATTAGTCTCACATATCATTTATCTACTAAAAGCAAATTATGGATACAATGCAAGATTTCAGATATTTTATCATTTGTAATCAGATGGCTGCCATTTCATGCAATGTGAGTTTAGATTTATCTGTAAATGGCTGAAATTTTTCCAGTCTAAGATGTAATGCTGTAATGTGTGTCCGTTTTTGTCAACACATTTTACTTCATTTAGATTTAGTGGTTTATGTTTAACAACAGAAATAGAATTGCTGCTGCTGAATATGTAGACTAAACCTGTTTCAAGTACTGTACTGTCTAAGTAGTCTTAAATCTTACCATGTAGTTTGGGTTATCTTGAGATGATTTTGATGATGTTATGATGAGATGGGTGATGATAATTATACAGTACATGCATACATGCTGGATAAATTGGGGCTATGACATGCATATATACTGATTTGTTAATGAATATTCATAACTGTACATTGAAAAAGATTAGTAATTGCCATTACAGTATTAATAAATGCAAGACTGCAACATATGAAAGATACAACTTAATCTGTGTATGTAGTGGATATAGAGCAAGGTTGCTGGTGCTCAGCTGGTTGTCTCCAGTGTTCAGTGTGTTGCTCTTACTCTGGCCGGTCACTGGTGTTTGGCCGGTCACTGGTGTTTGGCCGGTCACTGGTGTTTGGCCGGTCACTGGTGTTTGGCCGGTCACTGGTGTTTGGCCGGTCACTGGTGTTTGGCTGGTAGCTGGTGCTCAGCCACTTTCACCAAAAATTCCTACATCTGCATATTTGCATAACAAACGGCAAACATACCAGAAATTATTTAGCTTTGCTTCAATTATGCGTAGATATTGAAAGTAACTTAAAAGAATATATATGTATAAATAAAATTATAATATACACACCTGGTGGCCTGACAGCTGATTTGACAGCGCTTCGGATTCGTAGTCCTGAGGTAACGGGTTCGATCCCAGGTGGAGGCAGAAAGAAATGAGCAGAGTTTCTTTCACCTTGATGGGCCTGTTCACCTAGCAGTAAATAGGTACTTGGGAGTTAGACAACTGCTACGGGCTGCTTCCTAGGGGTGTGTAACAAAAAGGAGGCCTGGTCGAGGACCGGGCTGCCGGGACGCTAAGCCCTGAAATCATCTCGAGATAACCTCTCGAGATAACCACATACACACTTATTATAGCTGAAATAAAAATTTGAATGTAACTTTTTTTATTAATTTTGTTCTTTTTGTTTTCATGTGAATGTGTGGATATTCAACTGTAGAATGCCATAAAGATAGACACCTACATCTAATAAGGTGGATTATGAGTAAAAGCAATGTTGCCGAATACTTGTGCTACAGGAACTTGAATTCCAGTGTTCGGTCACCATAAATAAAATCTTCAAATCAATTAAAAATGCCACTGAAACTTGTCGACACAATATTAACTTGCACATCGGCACTTGGACAATGAATTCTATGAATGCCATTGGTTCTGCCTTCTTTAGATTTTGGTGTCATGTAATAAATTAACATTTTTCCTTTCATAATAAATGCTTCTGAAAAGTTACTACAGTATTGTAATTTTATAACTATCCAATTTGAACGCAGCTCTCATAGGTGGTCAAAGATTGGCAGCTGTACTATCCTGTTATTTGTAGGTACATATTCCTGTGTGTATACATAAGTATATAGTCTTCTGGGCATACATATTCTACATACAGTATATACATACTGTAGTGTACATTCATGAAAGTACATCCAAACTACACACTGCAAGTACAAGCAGAACATAATTAGAAAAAATATATCAATTGAACAAAATTTGACACAGCATTTTGTTTAAATTTTTTGTCAACTATTTTAACCTAGGCTATGCCCTAGACTACAAGTATACCTGGGTATACCTGGAATGGATTCTGAGAGTTGTTCTACTCCTCAAGCCCGGCCTGGGGCCAGGCTTGTCTTGTGATAATTTGATTAAACGGTTGTTGCTTATGGTGGCCCGCAGTCCCGTATGTTTATTACAACCCAGCGGCTCTGACACTTCCTGCAGAAACTTGTGTAATTGTATGTTAACATGTCTACTTTTATTCAAGCAATGATGATGTCATATTGTATACCTAAATTTGAACACCATAATAACTTAATGCGTGCAGTAGGCTAGTAAAATGTGCAAAAATAACCTCCAGAGAAAAGTAAGGCATTGGGGTCCCAAGTATTCCCAATACCCTCCCATGAAGTACAGCGGATTTATCAACAGATACCTGTTTTGTAGAGGAAACAATAAACTCCTCCCAGAAATCCATCATCTGCAAAGCTGCATGCAGTGCTAGTGTCTGTCATAAAACACCAATGGTTTGTTTGATTATGGTATTAACTAGGAAGTATGGTCAGGCAACAGGCCAGGAGGGCTGTGATTAACCTTCTAGGCTATGCCCTAGACTACAGGTATACCTGGGTATACCTGGAATGGATTCTGAGAGTTGTTCTACTCTACTCCCCAACTTCCTGCCCACACAAAAATATAAGAATTCATTTCTTGTTGCATTGCTTTAATAAATGCAGTCAGGTTAATATAATAAGTCTTTCTGTCAGATAAATTTCATAAATTAAGGAATTGCCAAAACAAGTGCCAAAAGTGGCATTATTTTATTTTTAAATCACTTTCAGAAATCCTGGTTGTTTCCTTGTGCATTTTTTTACTTTTATCATAAAATGCTATGTTATGGAAATATCATCTTTGTATTTCTGTATGCGAGAAGAATTTAACTTTCGATTACTTCATACGTTTCTTTTGTTTTGCAGGATGGACAAGAGTCGTGAGGGTGACCGGGGGGAGAAGTCCCGAGGAGGCTTGCCTCCTGGGATGGACCCAGCTACTGCTGCACTCTATGGTAAGCTTCTCTTTAGAACCAATAGAAACTTCTTGATTATTTTAGTAATTTGTAGGACATACTTTATGTTGGAAGAAAGCATGTGATGTGATCAGAATTATCTTAGATGTGGGTGCAAGCATTATTTCACAAAAGTTCATCACTGGCAGGAAAATTAGCTTATAAGCATTTAGCAGTTAAGAATGGACATTTATTCATTTATTTAATGACATAATTATTAATAATTATTGTTGGGAAAACTGATACAGTACAAATTCCTAACCCTTAAAACATAAGGGTTTTGAGTAGCACACTATTCAACACTACACTATGTATCTAAAGTGTAGTGTTGAATGTGCTATTCAAGCTTCAAGACGTTATAGCGTGGGATGCCTGGGAACCTTTTAGTGGGCTTGAGCTGGGGACACTTGGGTGCTCTGCATCATGTAATGGGCTTCATTACCAGGTGAATAGAATTTCAGTGTTTAGTTCTGTGCCGTTGTCCCCCCCCCCCCCCCCTCCTCCATCACTCGAGTTACTCACCGATGCTTCGGAATCCAACTGGGGATTTGTTTCCAGCTGTCACTATGCCAGCCAAGGATTGTGGTCTCGCTTGCAGTCTGTCTCCACATATTGTACTACAGTGATAGGGTTTGCAAAAGTTTTTATGGTGGTTAGGCACTTCTCTTTCCTATGAGGTTCTGAGCTTCGGTTTCACTCGGATAGCAAGTTGTGTGGCCCGCTACCTCAATGGGGAGGGCTCTCTTTCCCCATTATGGTGGTCTCTCTGAATAGTCTCATTTCTGGCTTTTCAAGTTTTAGTCCTCAATCCACATTCAGGGATGTTTGATATTTGTGCACATGGCCTCTTTGCTTGGCATGGAACCACAGGTCTCTCTTATGTTGCTGCATTTCCCAATTGTGAGATACCTATGATACCTTTTACTTGGACAGGAATTGGTGGAACTTATTTTACTCTCTCCTCCTGTCCAGCTCCTCCTCCTCTTGTTGATACAATTGGAGACATAAGCCATCATTCTGCTGATTCCTCTGTAGGCATTTCAGCCCTGGTTCCCAGCACTTCTTGATCATTGTTCTCATAAGTTTTTGCTCCCACTCTGCCTCTCCCAGATGATCAGCAGTCAGTCAGTTTGAGTCTACTGCCAATCTTGGCATTTGGAATTTTTAAGCTGTTTGTACCCTATTTGCAGCCTTCTTTCCCATATCAGTATGAGGTGGCTTAATAGTCCTAACTTTTTCCCTTCTCTTTACTGATTGTCCTCTGTTTGTGTTAATGGTCATGTCATCTGTGTTCTAGCTTTTTGTGGAGCACTGTCTCATACCCACTTCTGCTCAAGCTTCCCAAGCTGTGGCTCGTCAAAGCAGTTTCCTTGGTGCCTTGTTCCAAGGCCAGGCTTACTCGAGATATGTTGTGCAGTTCAGCCAGCCTGGTGTATATCCACATATGTGTGATGTGTGCCAAGTATGCTGCTCTTACTGCCTTCTTTGCTAATATATCTATGGCATTTATTTATTTACTGTATTTTTTTATTTATATATTTACAAGAGTTGTTACAGTATATTCTTGTACAGCCACTAGTACGCATAGCGTTTCGGATTTCGGGCGTTTGAGGCTTTGAATTTCTGGCTGTTTAAGATGCACCAGGAAGTTACAAAAGACCAGCCCAGAAATCAAACGTTGAATTTAATCAAGTGCCATCTTCTAGGCAGTCTTAGCAGCTCCCTGTCCTTCTTTGCAGGTACATCCCTTTTTTATGGGTAGGCTGGACTGCTGGGTGACCTGTGCTGCCACCTGGTGATGCACTAGGGTACTAACACATGACTTGTTGACACTTCAGACTACCTCTTCCCTTGTTTGCACCTTTTCTCTCATTAATCAAGACCGTTTTCCTTCAATTGTACTTTGTGTGAGGGTTTCTTGGTCTCGGATTATTTTTAGCACCCCATGCTCTTACTTAGGCCTTCTGGTTAACTTTCTGGCAAGCTCATCAGGGTCCTGGTGTTCTGTAGGCCTGTACAAGTCCAGAGGCCTGGTAATTTTGTGGGCCTCTCAGTGGTACCAGAGATGTACTAGGGAGCTACTAAGACTGCCCAGAAAAGTTTTTTTGTTACATTCAGTACTTGATTTTTATAGTAAAATGATCCTATTTGAATGATAATATACAGTACATACTGTAGTAAGATTTAATGTGCAATGTTTGAAAGCTGTGATTTCAGGATATACTTATAAGAATTTGGTCTAAATGTGAGCAGCAATATGAAATTGGTATTCAGTAACTGGGTTGACTAAAGGATAGATTTTATATACTGTATAATAATTGGTTACTTTTTTATGAATTAAGGGAAAATGGGTTGAGAACCTAACTCTTAAGGACAATGCATTTTTTATCATGTGATGGAATGGTGATGAAAGTGTATTGGAGGAAATTTAAGGGTAGGAATAGGAAAGAAAGGCCAATTAGAAATAAGCATTCATGGCAAAAATAAAAAAAGAGGAGAGGGGTAATGAGTGAGTGATGGAGATTTATTGAGTAACCAGTAAATAAGAAGTGGTATGGAAAAGGTTTAATAGCACCAGTTTGTTATAGTATAAATCTTAGAAATGTTTCTGTATGATAACTACCCTATCATCTCATCAAAGTTGGAAATGGGGTAGAGGGTTGCTATAAATGTCGTTTTAATTATTCAGCAATAAATAATTTTCTGCAGATTACCCTTGCAAATTGGATTATGATATACATTAAAGTTGATGTATGTCATAGTGAATAACATTTGATGCAGGTAGATTTACCAAGCTCTGTAATTTTTTTGTATTGTGAAGTTGTAATAGGAGCAGTAGCTTGCATGTTATTTTTCTTTCAATATATTAGATTCTGCTAGAAAACTTTAGACAAGAAACCAGGGTTTGCATGGTGGCTACCCACTAACATGCCCTGGCTTGGTTTTTAGTTTAAAAAAAAAAACCAGGTGGGCTTAAAAAACATTGCTTTAATGTGGGCCAATTTATTATTTCTGAGTTAAAACTTGAATTATTGTATCTATTGAATAGATAGATAAAAATCCAACCTGTCTTAAGCAAAAAGTGTGTTTTACCATCCCTGCAAGAAACATGTACCTGTACTTTTAAAGTACAGCACATGTAATATCAGTTAATGTATGGTCAGTGGAGTTGAAATGTTGGTTCCCAGCTTTAACCTTTCAACTGCACAGAACGACCAGGGTTGTTTCATTGGTGGTGTGCACAACAACCAGGGTTGTTTCATTGGTGGTGTGCACAACAACCAGGGTTGTATTTAGGCCTAGCATAAGATTTAAAACTCCTGCAGGTGTAAGGGGTTCATATCCTGTTTTTTCAGGTCTGTAGTAATCAGACCCCTTCTTTGACAAAAATTATGGGCCCCATCCTGGGTGCGAGAGCCTCGGTACTAACATTGAAACATGGGTAGCTAGCACGTGTTGCTGCAGCTTACGGCACTGCCATGCAGCCTGTATCGACACAGCATCACTTAATAATGACTAAATAAGCATCTGCAATTATTCATTGATGATTCTAACACATGATGATTCTGACACTGACTCTGACCCTGACGGTAAAAAGAATCATGTACGAGGTTCAGATGTCGGTAAACCCCAAGCCTGGTGACTGTTCCCAAAACGAGACAGACAGACAGACACAAACAACACACAGCTGCAGTTTTTACCTCTGCACATTGTGCAATAGGACCACATTTATCCTTCAGAAAACGAATGAATGGGAAGAATTTTTCATATTCGGGATTTAGTGACCAGAATCATGATTTGCGAATGTGAATCAGAGACGTCGTCAAGATATTTCCTCGCTCCACCGCAGCCAACGTAAGCTACATTCAAATTTATTATTCAATTTCCCTGTCATCAGGGAATGCATTTTAACAATATTTGAATGAAAAATAATATTTTTGAATTGGTTTTTGTGTGCACACCTGTTACACGGGAGTGTCACATGTAACAGGTGTGCAGCACGGGTTAAGGTGGGAGGGAGGGAATTATAAGGGGGAAAGCACCAAGCCATTAGGACTATATAGCACGGGGAAGGGATCAGGATAAGGATTTGGGATGGGACAGAGGAAGGGGGGGATGAATGATGCCCAACCACTTGGGTGGTCAGGGATTGAACGCCAACTTGCATGAAGCGAGACCGTCGCTCTACCATCCAGTCCAAGTGGTTGGACACGGTAAGGTGGGGGGGAGAGAGAGAGAAGAAAGTTTACATTATTGGTTGTTTGAGGGATTATCACTTAGAGATTTATAGTACTGTAGTTTGAATGTTGTTGGTGCGAGGTGTTGCAAGGTAAGCCTGTACTTTGAGGTAGGAGGGGCTTTGTTTATAAAAGCTTTAAATTTATAATTTATTCATTACTTACTGTTTTGCTAATAAGATGCCACTGGAGTTGGTATTTGTATATTAATATATTATATATTTTAGTTGGTTATTGTCTTTATAATATGCATTTAAATGAAGCTAGTCAAAAATAAAAAATATCTATTTCTTAATACATTACTGTATTAAATTTAAAATTTCAATAAATTATCTGCTATGAAAATGTATTTAGTCTCCTCAATGAAAATATGTTTACACTTTACCAGTTGGATTTTGCAGAAGTGTTAGGAGTGTAGTACAATGTTGATTACTACCATTTGTAATTCTCTCTCTTCTCTAGCTCCATGGCTACACCAAGAGCAGGCATTACTCTGTAAGTGTGTGACTGGCAGTGAGGTGTGTTATGTTGGCCTTTGCCTGATGCTTGTGTTGCTTTGGATACATTCTTGCAGTGCTGTGTGACTTCTCCTGAGCTGGTGAACTCTTTGCTTTATTGTTTGTATGGATATCGTACTTTATGAACCAAATGCAAGACTTGGTTGCTTTTTAATCTGATCATAGATGCTTTGAAGATGCAATGGTTGATTATGACTTGTCATATTCCTTGCTCATATTTTAATAGACTAAAAACTGAGAGAACATTAAGCACTGTATCGGTAAATGTCTTAGATTTCATGCAATTATCACTTTTATATAAATTTATTTTGAGATGGTCAGGTTGATTAAAATCCTAAGTTTTTTTTTTTTTTTAGTAATGTATGTATTGCTGATGCTTTTTTTTTATGTATTTGAGACTACAACATTATCATCATGTCATCTGGAGCAAATGCACGACACAGCTTAGTATTAATCCTGGTGTTGCATCTTGGTTGCATTATGATGGGGGGGAAGGGGGGGGGGGAGATAAGCTAACATTGCTATAGAATGGTGTTTTCAATTGCTTCAATATTTTTCTTCACTGTGCAGTGTCTGTCTCTGTGGCATTGACATAAACATCGAGCATGCATTTTGTGCAGTAGACGAGTAAGGCAAAAATAGAAAGTGTTTGATATTCACTCCTCTTCCTCCCCAAAAGATACGGTTGATAGGTTGATAGCTTTTTATGCTGTGTGGCTTTTTTTAAGGCATGATGGGTTTTATGTTATAATTGTAATGAGTGAAATTTAAGCACAATTTTTTGGCAAGAGAATAAGCATGGCTCGTCAGAAAGAAGTTTAGAGTCGATCTGAATCCATAAATATTTTTTTGTGCCTAATGTGAAATTTAACTTACAATAAACACTTGGAAAGTAGTATCTTGCATGGTTAGCCATTTTTGCTCGATCATTAAAGCTAAAGGTTGATACAGTACATACTGTATATTTACTGATTTATGTGAAAATGTTTTTGTTAGCGGTATTTTGTTGTTATCGGTATATTAAACTTGTTCCAATTTATCTTGGGAGATCTGTATTGTTACCCACATTTGTAAGTATGATTGTCTCACCATCTGTATGCATGGGTGGTTGGCATCTTTGTCTTATGAGCATATATCTAGGTTTATTTAACACATGTTTTGCTCTTTGATACACAGTCAAATCCGGGTTGTCCAATATGCAGCATTATTTTACTCGCCTCTGTGTAGTAACTGATACGGTTAAAATATTCTACATGTTAAATGTTTGGTCTAATGCAACGCATAGTCATGCTAGTCATTGGTATCAAGAGAAAAAATATTTAATAACTTATTAGCTAAAGGTTCATAAAATGCAGAGGAGATTTACATAATCATTTTAATGTTTTACATTGTTATTCTTAGTGAGATTATACACTGCATAGAGTAGTGTATGTTGATGTGCTTTTCTGAGGGGAGATGCCCTTTCCTTCCTTATGCCATGGCTTATTAGGCTGTGGGCCATTTGCACGATTGCTCACTTTTGGAAGGTTGCTTGTAGTCCCCCTCTGTTTTATGCATAGTGTAAGCACCCTTCTTTGTTTTATTAGAAGGATGTTGATGATTTAGTCCATGCCACTTGAGTCTGTGCCTTGTTCTTGTAAGGGTTGTTGTCCTGTTCTGGTGAGGGGCCATACTATTAAGTGTGACCCTTTGTTGCTTTGCTTCCCAAAACAGCACCAGACATTTGTTATGAAAGCACTGGAAGGGAATGCTTTGGCTGCACCTGTTTTGAAGACCACATCCCACAAGGTTTGGAACAGTTGTGTAATCTGGTCATGGGACTCTTGCTCCTTTTTTTTTTATGCATGGGACGGGCATGTGTTTTTGTTTCAGAGGAGTCTGAATCCTTTTTGGCTAGCTCTGCCAGTAGACAGAGGTTTGAGGATAGATTTGATTGAGGATTGTCCTGTTTGAGGACAGATTTGAAGGGGTCATTTGGTTTTGGCTTTGCCCATTCTTGGGCTTTGGTGTCTAGGCCGGATTGGACGTATCTCAGGGTCTTAACTTGCTTATCTTCTGATGCTTCCTCAGGTCCTTCAGGGGTGCAATTTGTAGTTCCCTTGGAGGAGGCAAACATGCTGTACCTGTAATGTGAGGGACTGTTTTTGCCGTTCTACTGCTTTCTGGTTAGACATGACCTGATTTGTTGTTGCTCCTGCTGTGAGGCTGGAATCATGCATCCGATTTATACCATACTCATTTTAGTTCCGACTCCTCTGCCATTTCCTGCTTATAATAGTTTCCCCATTTCTTTGGCTAGCAGACAACCCTTTGCTTTTGGTTGAGAAATGGCATACCTTTAATGCAGTTATTAGGCAGTCCTTGACTAGGAGGAGGATTTCCTTGCATTTAATATGTTGGAATTGGGGGAATCTCATGATAACATGAAGAAGGCCCTTTATACCCCCTGGCCCTGTCTCAGAATGTTAGCTCATGGCAGCTCCAAGTTCAGGTTACCAAACCTCTTGCCTCTGGTTGGAATTCATTTCAAGGCCAATTCCAAGCTTGCTAATTTGCTTTAAATTTTGTCCACTAGGGGCATAACTGGTCGACCCCTCATAGTGTTAGAGAGAACTCGATAAATACCTCCAAAGGATACCTGATTAACCAGGCTGT